ACCCTAGGACTGAGCCCTGATGAACGCGATTTAAAATAGTGGTAGATGATGATATCGAGGCATCGGCGCAGACGGTTGGTAATCTCTCTTTAGTGCATTAACCCACCACTCAGTAAAAAGCAAAATACTTGAAAGGTCAGAGCGGTTCTCTATGAAGCCAAACTGGAGCCATCAGATTAAACTGATCTCCTTCAGAAACCTAATTAGCGCTTTCTTAAATGTGAATATGACAAGTTTACAATAGACGCGATTTAGAGTGACGGGAAGATAATAACTGACATTTCTCGGGCTCCACCTTGTATCAGAAAAATATTCTGTACTCTCCATTCTAATGGCAGTCTGTTTCAGTCAAGTGTCGATTAAAGTAGAGCTAGTAGTGGTTTGAGAGTATTCTTGTCAAATATTTTAAGAGAATTGTAAGTATATTACACGGACGCGATATCTTTGCTTCTTTGAAATAAAACAACTCTCTTTCATTGAAAATTGCTGAAAAGAAATCGACTGAAGTACTCTATCTGCGTTTTCAACAGTTTTTTTGATAAGTTGACCACGAAACTCCGTTTTTTAAGTTACTAAAGAAACAAACATTTGGTCCAAGCTTACGTATCGCCCACTAGTTAAATGACTTCTGCGCCATTTTCATCCTAAGCATTTTAGTCATGTTTATTGGAATCCTACTAATCCTACCACTTCCGCTCTATACTGGCATTGACGATGGAGCGGAGACATCTTGCAGGAAACGAATATGATAACTCTCATTGAGAGGAGTCGTTCGGGAGGACTAGTTTCACGTTATTGGCCCTCTGGTTTTTTCTTAATATCCTTACTGATTTTAAATTCTGTTCCAGAGGGATTTTAAGTGTGCGCTCCGTAAGAAAGTAGTTTAAGGAGCTATGTGCGCCGTCATTGCCATATTATGCCAGTTTATTCAATCCATATTTATACAAATGGCCGCACTTAATCCTTAAAAGTAGTTTATAATGCCTCTAACCACACTTAACATGAAAATGAACTACGTTTGATTAATTTTTTCCTATTTATAGGCCCTCATCATTTTACATTCAGAGGTAGGTAGGCAGGCCATGGTGTTTTCTGTGGAATATATACATCCGCCCAATCTCAGAACTTACCATAA